GTTGAACTCCTAAGTACAAAACTGTATATTATATGTCGAGTATCGTCAGGACAGGTCCTGGAGATTTTTTGGTACAATCACTCACTGAAAGCCAAAAGGAAATAAACAGTTGTCTCACACTAGGATGGAACTCATCAACACCTCACGGCAACGCCGCCAAATGGGACTCAACCTTTCAGCTCATTTAGTTGGCATCTTATCTATCTCATTTTTAAGCCTAGAGAAGTCACGGAAATTTGGATCAGTATTGTTATTATAGTACCACTGTAAACAACACACTTTACGAGGTCCTCGTTCACACAAGCGGTGCTGCCTATGTGGTTCTCAGGTAGAGCACGGGTAGCAACTGACAGGAGCGAGTGATGCAATTAGTTGTGATATTAGACTAGAGCACTTGGTTTTAAGCGGATCAATTAACAGTTTATATATCTTTGATCAGAACCATATCTCGAAGATTGCCGACAAACCTTTGATACATTGTTTCTGTGTTCCTAAGGCAGACAGGCTTTCATAAAAACCCGAACAGCCAAAACAGTGTGACGACGGACGTATAAGGGATATCTCCCTCAACGACTGAAATATAATGATATTATGTGAACAGGTTAATTTTAGTGAATAAGTCCACTCCCTGTAATTCGTTAGTAAAATTATGGATATGAGGTGTTGGGTGCCTACCTGGCATGGTTTGATGGTTGAGGGCTCTACAATACGGTCTCCGGCCACCTTCGTTTTTCTTCAGGACCATTAGTTGAGAGGATGCCTATTGGTTTTCAGAGGGATGGATAATACCAAACCGTACCATATAGTCAAATTCGACCCTAGCACTTCGAAGCTAATCCTTTAATTTTCGTCTGGGTCTAGTGGACACAGGTGCACATTTGGTTTAGTTTGCATGATCAGTTTTTAGCTTGCCATTGCAATTTCTCGGGGTTAGGTTTAGCCAGATTTGGAAACTGGAACTTTGCAGTTGTTATTGGTGGTGTTTGTGCACAATTTAAGGAAATTATGTGGCCCTCAATGAATTTCTTATGTTATGAAGTTTCTCTGAGTGTCAAGAGCCTTCCTTGGAGTTACATATAAATACGCTTCCCCCCAAAACATCCCTTCCTAACATTTTTAGATCTAAATCCGCTAGAGTGAACACTCGGGGGGAATCGCCATTCAAAACCAAGATCCGGGGTTAACGTTTTCTTTTTAAACGTCGAAATTTTATCCTTGTTGGAGAATTGAAGTATAACTGGGGACGTATTTCGACCTAGTTTAGTTTTGTTCTGACAAGAAATACTTAGTGTAGCACCTGTGTCCATCAAAAAGTTCAGAAAGAAATTTCCATCTCTAACATATAGTAAACGGTTATTTATGTTGCGTATCGTACATGCACTAGATAGGGGGGTGAACTCTATCATTCTATCTGCAGTTCATACTTAAAAGGGTGTGTCTGCGTCCTGTACATCCAAACAGCTTAGGTGTGGCATGGAAGAGCTCATAATAATCCCTGCTTTGGGACGGATTCATGCACGGTGTTTACGTCAACTAACCCTAAGACCTGATAGAGAAACTTTTCCTCCAGAAAAAACTTTGAATTCTTCGACCGTCAGATCAGGACAGATGATTTAATAGCTCAATTGTTATACTGGAGTGATTTTGATGCGAAAAGATTCAAAATCAGGACTCTGACTTCTCTGGAATCGGAAGGAGGAAGGATAGTTACGGTGTCGAATTCCCTCACATTTAATATCGTGTCTTGTAAATTGATGCTCTAGTTGAGGAAATCACAATTCCGGATCATCGCGGTCGAATTCTGGGAGTCTGGATTTTGTAATCAAAATAGTGACTATTTCTAGGGGCGATAAATTATATTCATTTTCCTGGCTGTCATTTAGTAATGTGCTCAACATTTCACGATATACATTCTAAATAACAATGAGGTAGGATCAGATTTCTAACAAGAAATGTGTGCTAAAAAGAAAACATTGATAAATGCTTGTATTTAGTTATCAGAAGGGATAGTTTCACTTGAAATACAAGGATAACTAATGTTTAAGTTTTCAAGTAGGGACTTCTAGGACTGGTGAAATATAACCGGTTACTAACGGACATCGATTGATCGGGCTGTCAATGAATATCAAGCAGCTTTTGATATGCTCAACCTATTACGAGTTCACTTTACTCGGTAAATGGACCGAAAATCAATGATGCAGTGACACAATATGGCATTCTCATCCGATCGTCCTAGGCGCCAATAACTAGAGGAAGAAGTCTTGAAAAGACATAGAGAATTTATTCCACAGGCACCCAGGAAGTATGGAGTCAACCAGCACACAATTGAAGCTTATTTAGTCAATGCTAAGACGCCCTTCTTGATAACCACACAATAGCACACCAAAACAATCCACCAACCAATGACAGTCAAGGGTTTTCTTGAGTGGGCAGTGCAAGCTGAATGTTAACTAAGCGTCTTTGGCGCAAAAACATGAAATCCAAATTACAAAAATCAGGACCCTTTTCAAGTGTAATCTGGAAATCTAACGTCCCTAACAGTCTCCTTATCCTCTTCATAGTATAGGACAACCAACGCAATCCTATCGATTGCACGTACTAGTCGCACCACTCTGTAATTTATAGTGCGTCTGCTTTAATGTGGAGTTCACACGGCTTTTCCCAAACCTTCGAATAAATTAATAATAATAATTTATTTTCAAATAACAAACATGTTACAAGAGACATGCCAATTTACAGGTAAGATCAAAATGTTAAGATTAGCAACATATTTCTTCTAAAACGGTATTAAGTTACTGAAACATTTCACGAGATTCATTGGATTCCTATAGATGTAATGTACAATGCGAATAATTGGCGCTAGTTACGAAGGTTGCGTTAGGACTATCATCTTATCGACTGCGAAACGATTCATGGTAGAGACAGGTTTGTATATAACAATAATTGATGCGGTAAATGTACAAGGATCTGGTTGATATTCATCAGCTAATGATTTCACATGTTCCTCGGTAGGGTAACCAAGTCTACTGCGAATATCTACTGATCCATTCTTCTCAAGATGTTTTTCACTCGTCTTTCTACGTTGTCAGTGATTCGATTTTATCTTGGTTGTTTCTAGTTTGCTTGTTACATGTCGACCTTATTTCGTCTGACTATAAATACTGGGTCATGCTTTATCGCAGAGAGTTGGCCCTCTCTATTTCTCCGCTTCGCTTTGCTTTGCTGCGCTCGTTCTCATGTTTGTCTCTACGAACGATTGTTTGAAACAACCTCATCCGACCTAATCCATACTTGGTTCCTAATTACGGCAATCAAACAAACGGGGTTAACTTAAGTATGTTATGCAGAAACTGCGGGGGAGATTTAAATCATAGCGTATTCGAAAGTCATAAATAAAGGAATCAGCTCACTGGCCACTAAAATAGTCAACCCTACTTAGAATTCAACGCAGCCACATTTTCTCTTACCTCCTGAAACCAATGTATGCTGTTACCTATCGAAAGCATTTATTTTAGAAATAAACCTGGTTATGATGACGGTATCACCAAGGTCAAGTACTAACCTCAAAGCGCTACTTCGACGCACGCCAAAAAATCAAACCATTATTGTCAAACTTAGGAATCCCTTCAACCATCGACATAGATCACCTATATTGCTGGTCATTAGAATCACTTGTTTGAGAAATAAGACTCTACCCTCTGTATATTTCGGACGTCACCATTAGTTAACCCGATATCAGTTTGATATGCTATATGGGCATATATGCCAATATAGCTAAGCCTAGGCTCTCTGGTTCGCTTGCAACATCGAACTAGTAGGGCCTGTATATTCCGACAAGAAGTTCAAAAGAGAGCTTAAACCAAAGCACTACGACAACAGGCTACAAACGTAGGACAGTATGATATAACAAAAAAGGGGAGGTCATCTGACGAGTAACTACCATGATGGGGTAATAACCTCAATTGACCCATGTCTGTGGAGCAGAACATTTTATCAACATGTAGCGTCTTACGATCAGTAGGCATGTATATAATCAGTGATGTTGATGTTACATTTCTGTGTCATGGGATCATGCACCCTATGTACATAACTGTCTGGATCATAGCTCGTATCAAGCGCGTTCCATATGACCTATCCCAACAAATTCACTATTGATCTCGACAAAATCGCCAAAAAAACCTACTGTGCACCTTCCTTATTTGTACTCTATTATTGAAAATGTGGCTGTATAATATTGTTTCTACCAGTGACATGGTATAAATATGCTATCACAAACTGACTCTTGCACCTAATTTAACAGCTTTAAGTTTTACAGTTAATGTGAAAGCATTTGTTAAAATATGATCAGGCCTGTAATCTGGCGTTACTATTGTAACGTAGTTAATTGAGAATAAATATATATTATATCTATGAATCATGTTTGAAGTCCAGCTTTCGTTTCAACTATCGCTAAGAAATCCTATTACAAGCTGATCTGAAAAAGAGGTCACTTGTGACATTATGAGCAAAAGTTTGAAATAAAACAATCAGTGAAATATCAACAAACTATCACACCAATGTGCCTTCATTAACATATTATGTAAATCAAAATAGCTTCTGATAACTTCGTCCCTTTGAATCTCCTCTATTCGTAAGATTATCTACCCATTCGTTATCTTACTAGTGACTTGTCTTTATTAACATACTTAAGTGCAGGTGGGCAGTTCATGTTCTAATACAGAACAAGAAAGTTATGAGTAATCATATCTTCACTTCAGCCAACAATTCGTCTTCTGAGTCATGGCTCAACTTTAAACAAGAATAATTTCCATTCTGCTCCTCGCACCTATCTCCTAAGTCCTCTTTCTCAGCACCCCATCCTACGCATATATGTCTCTTAAATGCTGCTAGCAATCTCATGAGAAAAAAACCAATGAAAAGAGCAGAAGACAGTAGTAAGAGAATATCGAGGAAAGACTTCCTTAAGCAACAGTCTCCTATATTCAATTTGCGTTCCCCATCAAAGGGTGGGAAAGCTGAATTATCTGGTTTTCAAGGCCACAAGGTAAATTGGACGGTTCGAAGTTTCCATACTGTCTGCTCTTTGTTTCGTTTTCCAGATTCTCGGAACCTTAAGCTTTCATCATCACCAACTTTCGCTTGTTACTTCCCCTGATGAAAGCAATTGCATTTTTGTGCGTTTGCTGCGTCGTCAAACCACATCTTTCATTCGTTCGTACCGTCCTCCCCGCTCACACTACTCTGCATACTCCCCTAGTATACTAAGTACCTGCTGACTACAAGTCAGTCTCCACAGTGACAATGAGAAAGCTTACAACATGAGAATTGATAAGATAGGGTTTCCAATATCCAATATATTTTTCACGAGCTGGTGTAAATCAGTTGATTTTCTTGCGCTCGATTCTTGTTCTTTCGGTACTGTTCCAGGTGTTCGGTAGTGTCCAATGAATGGAGGTCTAGCCACTCGACTGTCTAATTCTAGTCAGTTGGCAGTTGCTTGTGAGTTCGTATGCCTCGGGATTTGAATGAAAACGTTTGTTCCAGGGCTGCACGGTTTGTGGACACCAGCAGCTATCACATTACCAAACCGGAGATCAGTTAGTTGCGATGCGGATAGTCATAAGGATAATAAGGATAAAATTCTAATGCTAATATGAATAAAATTTTAGAACTATGTAATATATAGGTGAATTTAGTTTATTAATTGCTAGTGAAGATTGTGAGAGAAGACCATAGTGTAAGCAAGGAAGAGCAAACAGAGATAATAGGCGAGATAGATTTAGTAAGTGACCTGAGGAGATGGCAATGATAACAACTAGCATGTCTCAAGATGTGCATGATGAACAGCTTGTCCAAGAGGGAGATGGTAGTCCGTATGTGAATACGTGATTATTAAGTCTCTTCTTAAAGCTGTCTACTGAGGGGGCTGTGGTTACCTCGGCTGGGAGGGCATTCCAAGTTGCGACGACTCGCAACGAGAAAAACTGTGCACGAATCTGAGTATTCACTCTTTGATGTGCAATCTTTCGAGGATTGCCTCGAGGGGAGTGGTGGCGATGTATCGGTAAGATGCTCACGTTGAGATGGTTTGGCGTGCTTAATATGTTGCACGCCATAATCAGATCACCTCTGATTCTCCTGTAACTCAGTGCAAATAATCCCAAGTGCTGGAGTCTATCGTCGTAAGGCTTATTTTTCAACCCTATCACCCATTTGGGTAGACTATTTGTTGCAATGTTGCGTCGTAATTTATATATTATACTAGTATGTAGGGGGCTGGAACTATGCTTATTCTTCCTGCGTTACATTTATATGTGTGTCAATGCTAACGTATTTCGGTTTCTATGATCGAAAAATTCATGATTCACTCTGTCCATTTGTGTCCAATAAGGTAGAATTTCCACAATTACTCCATGAGCAAATTCATTCACCTCTGTGGAACAAACTTAATCATAACCTTCAGGCTGTGCTATCAGTAACTTAACATTGCCCGGATTCCAAAACGCTCGAATTTCACTAGGGTCTTGTAAAAAAGTTACTATGTAAGGTACTAATCTATATACCAGACAGCGTCCTTAAATGCATTTCGTCTTGCGACCACTTTTCTAGAATATCACGGGCTTGCAGATAACGTGTCACTAAGGTTTTTAATTCAGATTTGAATATTGAAGATATGAGATCGACGGCCTGTGTAAGTATTTGCCCAGTAGACTTTTTCTACTGCCCAGTTTTTTTCTAATGACCAACGTAAAAGTGTGAGCACCTCTTTTTCGGGTAAAAATTACCCTGAGTTGATAATTCAGTGCAAAAAGCCTGTATACCGCAGATATTTTGTTCGCTCTTGGCTTTCGAACTCGCCTGTTATGTCCTCTTGATCTTGTTGTACTGAAAGGAGAGTATATGTTAGACCCAAAATCATTTTTATGTACTCCATACATCTAAATCAGATCATCACGAGGTTCTAAAATTGCATCAGTTCTTACACTCCGAAATTTTCCCAAGACATCCGAGTCATGTTTCAAATGAGTTTGCAACATCAATGCATTTTTTACGTTTTATTCTCGCTATCCTTGTTATAGTGTAGTATACAAACATATATCCAACTTGGTAGGTGTCCATCTTAAAGTCTATAGGTTTATAGATCTCACGACAATGGGCCGTGGCACATTGTTACCCCATAGATCACAATGAGACAATGCCTTAATACTGTAGTTATTTAACTTTGTGTATCCGAATCGCGTGTGGATATACTTGACCCTATTGATCACCACGCTCTAAACTAACTAGCCAAAACGTCTGGTTAGGCCCTTAGTTCATATACACCTGCACCCACTGCTACTTCTACGGATATGTACGTTCTTTTTACTCTCTTAGTATCAAATTTTCTGAATTCCTCATGACTTTTTCCTCTTCCTAAAGTTGTTTCACTGGTTTGTACTTCTCCGATTAAAGTTGTCATGATGTTGTTTTACGAATGGGATTGACAACTTCAACCTTTCAGTCTGTAGGTAATAAATATCCTAGACAAATGATGTCTTCACTATCGCAGTCATCCGATCCTGTTGACTTTCTGTCTGAAGTGCCTGAAGCTTGCAGTACGTGTCCTCGATTAAAGTCTACTGACCATAATTTGCCATAAGCACCGACGCGACTAGTAGTGTTCGAGTAGAGCTTGTACAAGGTTGGTTAATTATGGATTTCTCCACAAAAAGATATTACCACAGTACTGTGTGATGAGTCCTTCGAAAAATGACTCGAAGATTACTTTAGTTCTGTACATACTAAGATGAGCTACTCTGGATCTTGCTCCTAGACCTGTCCTACTGTCAACTTAATCGTGTTGCCGCGTCAGTATTCAGGAGGAATATAACAAGAACCACACTTATCCGTAATCATGAATACTCTTCTCATACCTAAATGCAGATCTGAAGGAACAAGTAGTTCACTGATTTCATCAAGCTTAGTTGAAGGCAAGTATCAACGAAATTCCTACTTTGAAAAGTAAATTGTTGGTTATGTTCGTTCTTTATACTACCAATGCAATATGTCCAAAGAACTATCGGTTGTAGTTATTATCAATATTACAGACAGTTAGTTGTTTAGGTTTATAATGTCAAATGTTATGCGGTGTCAAAGACTTTGCCGGTAAATTTTTAATGCTTTTAATTCTAAAATATACCTTTTTTATCTTGGGTCCTTTAGGAAATTATTGTTAATCAACTGTAAATAAAGAAAGTAATCCAATACCAATCATTCGTGTTTGGAATATTATCTCTGTTGTGATTAACAACAAACAATGCCAACAATCGATAAAGCTTTAGCCTTATTAAGAAAATATCCTCGAGTTTGTCCTCAGAATATAACTGATCTTCCAGGAAGCAGACGACCCGTAAGGAATTGAGTATACATATCTTCATTTCTAAGTAGAAATATCAAGGTTTACAAAGAAAACGAAGAGGTTTTGGTCATCATGGTGCTTCTCAATTCCAAGCATATCCACCTTTGGGAGTATTAGATTCAAAGACACCATTTTATTTATCTGTTCCAAGAGAACCTTACAATATTAACATGTAAGTAAAAAAATATAATGCTTCTTAGAAGAAGTTAAGATCTGAAAACAATCTTTTCCGTATTTCTCTCCTAGAACTTCAAAGATTAATAGATCTTAATCGAATAAATCCACTAGAACCTATTGACATTTCTACATTGTGTAACACTAATCTTTATCGATTAAATGTAGATCATGATCGACACTATGGTTTCCATTTAACCGATGAAGTAAGTTATGTGTATTAAACTGTTTAAACAATTCTTAGGGTATTGATAATTTTGTTACTCCTGTTAATATTGAAGTTCAATATGCTAGTGAAGAAGTAATTGCAGCTGTGGAAAGAGTAGGAGGAATAATTTGTAATCGTTATTATGACCTGTATTCTGTTTGGGCAAAATCTGATCCTGAAAGATTCTTCATGAAAGGTATCCCAATTCCAAAAGCTAAATTACCTCCGAATGTAAGTGTCACAAAATGATTTTATGTTTCATTTGGCTGGTAATATATTTTATTTATTGAATAAAAGAGCATTGATTATTGTGAATAGACTAACAAATCTTTACAGTATGCTTTGTTAAAATTCTATGGTTAGTTACATTTTGTCATCAAGATAGCTCTCCTAACAACTGGGGTTATTCTGCATATTTATTTCCTTTCTATTTTCATATATATTATGACTTCATACTTTCGCAATTGGATTACTTTTTCTGGTTAGCGTTTTTTTGGCAAGTTAGATTTCAACGGAATGGGGCCGCCAACCCCATGTCCAACCCTCCTCCTTTATCCGGGCTTGGGACCGGCAGTAGCCCCTAAGGTTCTACTGGCGCAGATGACCTGGCTCTTCTATCCCACACGCAACAACAAATGCAAGAGAAGACGACCAGTGTAGCAGCAGCCTCTGCAGCAGTAGGTCTCAACATACATAAAGGGAAAAGCGAGATTCTCCGATGCAACACAACATGCACCAACCAAATCACTGTTGATGGAGATGTTTTGGAGGTCGTTACCACCTTTACATATACTGGCAGCACCATCGACAACCAAGGTGGATCCGATACAGATGTGACAGCGCGGATCGGCAAAGCAAGGGCTGCATTTCTACAGTTGAAAAATATCTGGAACTCCAAACAACTTTCAACCAAAACCAAAATCAGGATTTTCAATACAAATGTTAAAACAGTTCTACTGTATGGAGCGAAAACTTGGCGAACTACGAAAGCCATCATCCAGAAGATACAAGTGTTTATGAACAGTTGTCTACGCAAAATACTTCGTATTCGTTGGCCAGACACCATCAGCAACAACGTACTGTGGGAGAAAACAAACCAGATTCCAGTGGAGGAAGAAATCAGGAAGAAGCGGTGGAAGTGGATAGGACAAACATTGCGGAAAGCACCTAACTGCGTCACAAGACAAGCCCTTACATGGAACCCTCAAGGCAAAAGGAAAAGAGGAAGGCCAAGGAACACATTACGCCAAGAAATAGAGAAAGATATGAGAGGAATGAACAAACTGGAGCGGGAAGCCCAGGACAGAGTTGGTTGGAGAAAACTGGTGGTCGGCCTATGCTCGATTGGGGGTAACAGGCGAAATTAAGTAAGTAAGTAACTTTCGCAATTGGAATTTATCCTTAGTTGATAGCAAATTATTGATCTAAATATTCTAAGACCCATAAAATAATGGCTTACTTATCTATTTAATATCAAAATACTTGCTAAGAATCAAATTCTCATCTTAGTAGTAGTTTCCTGGAAATTGTTTTGAAAAAAACCTGTAGGTTTGGTTGAAGTGATGATGATGAGTATTCGTCAGTCAGTGTTGTGTTTTAAAAGCTGTTCAAGTATTTTTAATGAACAGCTTTCAAATTGTTTGTATTCATCATACTAAAAGCTTCCTATATCAGAATAAGCTATTTTATTTTTGGTCATTACGTAGCTGTTTGATAAAAAGATTAAGTGAAAATGAGAAATTTGAGAAACACTATTATTGTGGTGCGAGCTACTTATAAGTAGTATATGACATGAATGTCAACGTAATATCTGGCAGCAGAAGATGGGGAAAGATCAACAAAGGAAGAGTTAGAACACAATGGAATTTGTATGAAATGCATAAATAGTGACAATGGATTGATGTTTTGCAACAGGAACAGTCCAGTTCGATATGATGGACTGATATTTTGCAAATTAACGATTTACGATATGGTTTTCCGATTTTAGGGAGTAACTCTGTAATTTTCGTTAAATACAATCCAGTTATTTGAAATTGTGCTAGCAGATACTCATCAACGAGATAGAAGATTCACAATCTTCAGAACACCGATGCTCTCTCTCTATAGCGTTGAAACTCGCACTGCCCAGTGTCACTGTATGAGCTATAAATATAGACTTAATCTCATAGACCCATTCTCATTGGTGCCTCTCAGTAGTCGGTTACTGCATGAACAAACATAACAAATTACTATTTCGTCATAAATGCGGAATTCATACTTAGTTAAATAAGAACGTCCATCCATAATGTTTCTATATTTACTCCGTAACTTAATCGTGGTTTTACTTATTACCCGGTTCCAAGGTTCATTAATTGTCGTAATATGGTACGTAATCTGTTTATTGGTCACTGGAAAAATATAGCCAAAAATATCAATGTAACGTGTAGTTACTATGTGAATACACATCATTTTAAACTCTCCAAACTGATGAATATGTAGTTCAATTTTTATTTTGAACTAATCACACTTGGAGAAAGTGTTCCCCCATTTACAGAATTTTAGTCTGTTATATTTTATCATTATGAGTTAGATGTATCCCCCAAATACCTCCGTTTTCGAAAAATATTAGAATCTGGTTTACACCATGTTATACAACACTGTAATTTAATTCTTATTCCGTAAAAGATATTTTAAATTTCGGCCAAAAAATCCATTAGTCTCTTTCGATATTTAAATTATCATCTTTTGTTAACTGTGAAGGTGGTTTACTTTTCACTTCTTATATATAGACTTTGATTCCATTCTATGCAAACGCTGAGTCTCGAGGTTATTTGGCAAACCCTGAAGAAGTAGCAAAATCTCGAGTTTGGTTAGCTCAAAAATACGGTTATAACCCAATTGATTTTAATGCCTCCTCGGAATCCATTCGAGAACTGATGTCTATGCGAAAAGATCCACGACAAATATTTTATGGTCTAGAACCTGGTTGGCTTGTTAGTATTCCTGACAAAATTGTTTTAAAGCCTAAATCTGAACTTCTTGAAACCTACCACAAATCATGATTCCTCAAGTAATAATTGTATGAAGTGTTGTTTTTGAAAACAATTACAATTTTGTAAATGCATGTTAACTACAAATGATAAATAGTACACATTCAGTTGTAAAAAAATTTTATGCATAAATATGTAGTGTAAATCTGTGTGATTAGTAAATTAATTATGGTTTCTGGACTTTTTTTTGGATTGTAGAACATGCATAATATGCATCGATTCACAAAAAACAGCATGCAGTTTTTTTGTTTTACCACCCATCATTTTTGTTTTAGTAATGTTTTCACATTGCTGAAGCGATGTCATTTGACTGGTTGGCATAGAGTTAGAAATGTAATTGAATACGATTCTGTATATTGGAACGACATAGGGGACAATCATGAACACATTCAGAACATTTCTTGCAACAACAAACATGACCGCATGGAAGGAATATTGTAGAGCACTGTGTACATAGAATAAACAAAAAAAAAGTAATAACAGTTAAGGAAAATCCAAGAGAGTTAAAAATAAAAACTAGTGCGTCAGTCTCAATCGACATACAATCTAGAGCACTGAAAAGTGGACTGAGTCATCTCGGTAGGTGTCGACCACCTGGTTGGAGTCCGCAAGACGATAATAATAACCGATGGATAGAGACCTTGAATGTGACATGGCTAAAAATCGTTTACAATGGCGTAGGTGCATTCATTCATTCATTGTGTTCTTTCAAATACTAAGCTTCTGAATTCTTTCATCACCTCTATCTTTCTGTTTCTCAAATTATCTCAATGAATTTATACTTCTTGAATAATATCTTCTAAACCTAATCTTCATTACTGCTAATACTTCTACTATCTCTCTACCACTCTTGGTTTTGAACTGATAGTTGCATCTCTGTGTACTACTGATGGGGTATGGCAACCTGAACTGAACTCATGTACGAAGTTCTATGTTGTAACTGACTGACTACAATCTAGCACAAATATGCAATAGGCCACCAAGCTGACACACCAAATCAACAACACAATGAGATGAAATGAACAAACTGAATGAAAACTGAGTTAAAATAAATTCAGTAGCACCGTGATAGTGTGGTGCGAGCTACTTATAAGTAGTATATGACGTGAGTGTCAACGTAATGTCTGGCAGCAGAAGATGGGGGAAGATCAAGAAAGTAAGAAGAGTTAGAAAACAATGGAATTTGTATGAAACGCATGAACAGTGAGTGACAATGGATTGATGTTTTGCAACAGGAACAGTCCAGTTCGATATGATGAACTGATATTTTGCAAATTAACGATTTACGATATGGTGTTCCGATTTTACTGAGTAACTCTGTAATTTTCGTTAAACACAATTCGGTTGCCCTCAAAAAAAAAATACAAATTCCATTGTTTTCGAACTCTTCCTTTCTTGATCTTCTTCCATCTTCTGCTGCCAGACATTACGTTGACACTCACGTCATATACTACTTATAAGTAGCTCACACCACAATAGTAGTAGGGAAAAACTATACATCAAAAAAATATGGTTTGAAAAGGTAGAATGAAGGAATTCTGAAAATCAATATTTAGGGTAAGTAAAGACAATAAGTATGCATCAATTGTGACAAACTAAACCAAATACAATACTGCATGTCATCTAGAGTTTCAAATGTTTCACTAAATAGTAATAATCCCTAGAAATTTCGGACTATGTTATCATTTGGTGGAGGAGACCTGTTAAAATCTTTGCCTTACATATCAGTATTTCTTATCATGTGTATTGAAGTTATGTTTATTCTTATTTATTTGTGCTATACCAGTCAACTTCAAGTGTTTTTTTTTAAAATCGAGAAAGTGACCGACTACAATTGAAAGGATGATAAACCTTAGGACCATAAGAAGTTGCTTGTTAGGCAAGATTTTAACCAGTATTGAAATATTTCATAGTCCGAAAATTTCGTTCGCATTAAAGATGTATTCAAAAACACTGAGAAAATATCTAAAAAAAAAATGAACCACTCACTATTGCATCTTGGCATATACAACATTCGTTCTCTACACGGGCTATAACTTCGTTCGACACAATTAAATTTGATATTGTCACCTCTGGAGCTGAAGGTGTTACATACGCTGTTGGTAGTGATTCTCTTGTGTTGTTAAGCTTCTGTCAGAGAAAAAAAGAAGCATGACGATTTTGATATTACTACAAAATTTAAATAAATTTCAGCAAGAATGTTGGTGATACACACAAAGGTATTGTTCATACATATCTACTAACTATTCTGAAGAAAGCACAACTGAGCTTCGTTTATTTCTCAAAGTTAGCTGTTCTTTTAACCACTAGTTCGCTTACATTAATAGGCTTACTCTGTTTTGATATTTAATCTAATCAACTATGGATCATGAATTTTTAGGTCACCCTATACACCAATACGTGATTTGATTATATTTGTACCTGTCACACCCCTCTTACATCTTAGTATTACTAACAATGCATCATACAACTTTAAAAAATGAACAGTCAGTCAGTCAGATGCAACGTACAACATCGTACGTATGTACATCAGTTCATGATGCCATACCACATCAGCACAGAGACGCAACTGTCAATTCAAATCCAATAGTAGAAGAGGTAGTAAAGGTATTAGAAGTAATCGGAGAGGTTAGGATTAGAAGATATTATTCAAGAAGTATGATTCAGTGAGAAAAGTTCAGAAAGTCAAAACTAGAGGTGTTGAAGAATCCAGAAGATTAGGATTTGAGAGAACACAAAGAATAAATGCACTGGCGCCATTGCGAACGATTTTGAGCCATGTCATTCAAGGTCTCTAACCATCGATTATTATCATCTCGCGGACCCCAACCAGGTAGTCGACAATTACCGACATGGCTAAGTCCACTGGTCAATGACTTCATGGATTTGTGCCATGTTTTGGTTTGGCCGCCCCTAGCTTTCTTCCAACCTACTCCTACACTACAAAACAAAGCTCTTCGAGGCAGTCGGTGGTTGGGCATACGCAACACATGTCCCAACCACCTCAACTGATGAAATGTCACTACTGCGTCTATTGATCTGCCATCCTTACCTAGCACCCGATTCCTAATAACAGCGTTGCTCACTCGGGTGTCCCACGATATACGAGCAATGCTTCGAAGACACCTATGATTGAAAACCAGTAACCTACGAATGTCCTCTACTCTGACTGGCCATGTTTCACAGCCATAAAGTAAGACGAAGCGAACTACTGCACAGTACACTCGTCCTTTAGTCAGCAAACGGATATCTCGCCTTCGCCATAAGTGACACAGGTTGGCAAAAGCCGATCGAGCCTTCTGTATCCGAGCTGAGATTTCGTCAGTCACCAGGCCATCGGCACTGATGAGACTTCCAAAAAAAATGAACAAACAAAATTTGTCTGAATATGTCATATTTGAAATAAATTGACTGATTTCAAATCTAACTGCTACTGTAACTAGATGCTGATGTGGTATGGCAACATGAACTGATGTACACTTACGTACGAAGTTCTACGTTGCATCTGACTGACTGTAACTAGATGATTAGAAGAAATACCAGTCACTTGTTCCATTTGAATTACTACATGTGGTAAGTGTAATGATCATAATTCAACGGATTTCAAACAAACAAAACTGGTTTCTGTTATGAATCCAAATGTTCAACTCACATAGTAATTTATTGGTTGATGTACTTACTTAATTACGCCTGTTACTCCAAATGGAGTATAGGCTACCGACCAGTATTCTCCAACCTAGTCTGTCCTTGGCCTTCCTTTCTAGTTCTGTCCAGTTTTTATTCATTCTTCTCATGTCTTTCTCTATTTCTCCGCGTAATGTGTTTCTTGCTCTTCCTCTTTCGCTGTGACCTTGAGGGTTCCAAGTTAGGGCATGTCTTGTGATGCAGTTGTGTGCTTTCCGCAGCATGTGTCCTATCCACTTCCAGTACTTCTTCCTAATTTCCTCCTCCGCCGGGATCTGGTTTGTTCTCTCCCACAGTGTCTGGCCAACGGATCCGAAATATTTTGCGTAGACAACTGTTAATAAATATTTTTATCTTCTGGATGTTGGCTTTCGTAGTTCTCCAAGTTTCCGTCACATACAGTAGAACTATCTTGACATTTGTAAATGACTTTAATTCACATTTTTACAACATGGTTCGTGATACTACCAAACGAATGCCTTAATCGAATTAGTGTTCCTCTAGGATTCGAACCTGTGACACTACTTTTCAGAAAAACTGATTTTTTTTCAACTAGTAATAACACTATTCTGTGTAGTAAATTTAAAGGCGAGAAAAAGTACAGTATAAAAATTGTAGTGTAACCAAAATATTTGTACGAAATACCTCATCTCCATCATTTGTTTTCGTTTTGTATAAATCAATCTGTCTGAGTATCTCACGACGTGTTCCAAGAGTGTGAATACCGATCTATGTTTTATTAAAGCACAAAAAAAAATTAAAGGTGTGATTATTCATTGAAAAGATCACTTTGAGAGACAGTAATAATTTACATTCAGGAAATGTACAAGAAATATATACATTACATGAGCTTTTGTGTTAGTATCCAGTATAGGCTAACAGTGTACGGTGCTTCAAACCACAAGTTCTGCAGATGTATCTATCTGCAACTTTCAATCAGGTGTGAGAGATCGAATATATCAGTCATATAGTAACCCAACACCTCCGACCACGTAACCAAAGTTGGTAAAGTGAAAGGAAGTATTAGGAAATGCACATGAATCACGACTTCTCCAAGTTTAAAAATGCAATAGATAAGATGCCAGCTAAATGAACTGACAGGTTAGGTCCCAGATAGAGACGTGTATGTGAAGTGATGATTAATTCCATTCTAATGTGAGACAATTGTTTAGTGCCTTGTGATTTTCAATGAATGATGGTACTGAAAAACAACCAAGACTTGTTCTATCATACTACACAGCTAAGAAAGATGATAGTCGATAGATAAATAAATAATACACACTTTTGTACTCAGCAGTTTGACTTTCAGAAAAAATTAATTTATCTCTTGAAAGCGGACACGATCTAGTATGTTCGTTCTTACGGGGAAGAGGGTTTATTGTTGTAATCTTGGTGTTGGGGATGTTAGATCCCCAAAACTCGCTTGTTAAATGCCTTATTTTGGATTTCACGTCTGTGAGCATGGGCTGATCAGTTGACCTTGAGATTTCATTCCCATGGCTGTGATTGGCTGCTGTGTATTTTAGTTTGCTATTTTCTTAACTGTCCCAAGGACGTTTCTATGATGTATAAATAAACGAGATTTGTGTGCTTGATTGTATTGTGCTTGCTGGATGTTTGTATAATATACTTTCTACGCTTATCAAGACTTCTGTTTACAGCTTGGGATTCAAGGTAGCCTATCTGGACGCTGGTAATTGTCTCGTTCGCGTTTATCAACTAAGGTGAACTTGTAATAGCTTCAAGTGTACCTAGTGACGAACCCTACGCTTGGTTACCAGAAGTTTGTTCGTATTCATATTTGTTAAGCCATTGAATTAAGGATCTGAATACTTATCGTGTGGAATCACATAAATGAACCTTTCTAAGAGGATAAGTGAAATCGAAAACTTCAGAATGATAGTACACTCCATGAGAAATCCAAATCGAATCATTCATATGAAAACAATAAAAAATTTAAAACATAAAATGCCAAATAGAAAAACTTACTTCTTTAAGATCATTATCTGTCATAGTTTGCATAATTGAATACGTAATAGCATGTCGTTGAAAATTAGGCAAAAATTCCAAAGATTGCGCATTGCTTAGAATTGTTTGAACATCAGGATCTGGCTATAAATATTAAGAAAAAACGATTGTCATAACGGGGTTTTTAAGAATGTTTTTCTCTAGAATAATAATTCGGCAATAATCGGTCATACGATTAATGAATGAATGACTGAGATTATATTACCACTGGATCGATTATTCGAACGATACGCTACGCAGAGACTAGATCACATTAAACCTGACGTATGACTGACGATCAAAAAATGAAGAACTAGAGTAAACTATGTACAATACTTTATTTCGCACAATTAGAAGCAGTCACTCTCAGTGAGTATGGATTGGAAAGTAATATGAGTAAAGGAAATCATATTTTCAATATTCAGCAGTCTAAGTGAGTAACTGTCCACATCCTGTGACTGATTACATTTTACTCTTACTAGCATAATATCCCTGTTAAAGTCTTCAAGTAAAGATTATTTTATCACTGTACGAGTTGATCGACGGTTTGGAAGATCAATTTGCCAATCTGAATCCTGGTAGTATTTCTCTTCTTCCGACTAAACGATCGTCAGCAATTGCTAGCTTCCTAAGCTTCGATTGGTAAGGTGAACCTCGAGTTAGAAGCTTAAAGTAACTCTCACTTTTACCAAGGCTTTTAAGTGTATGCGCTTTTTTCAACCTAGCTTTCAATTCGATGTTAGAACACAACAACCCATAATGTAAAAGTAGTTTTGTATATATCTCAAAAACTTGTAGGTTATATATATACGTTAATTATCAGACTGCAACTCAATCCAAATATAAAATCATACTTTACAACTAGTGTACGAATGATACACAACTGATTAATTAAATAATAATAAATAGTTTACCAAATAATGAATAGGCTTAAAGAAAAACTTACAATAATCTAACCGTCTAATATTTGAATTTGATTAATAACAGTCTAAAAGCAATGGAAGGCCGTTTCGTCCTGGTATGGGACTCATCAGCAGCGCGAATTCACGACTCCCGTTACTTGTAGGAATCGAACTCAGGATTTTTGGTCTTGTACGCGAACGCTTAAGCTCTGGACCACTTGTGGTGAGCCCGCCGTCGAAATGGGCCACTACACAAATGGTGAGCCCTACGTCAACAAAATTGGCCACCACAATCTGGTGGGCCCGCCGTCGAAATGGGCCACTACAAATTTGGCGAGACTGCCGTTCATTCATATCACTCCGTTTTATTCACTGATTCATCGATTCGCTTTGTGGTGTGTCCCAAATAAACGTATTCATCACTACGAGTTCACCTTCTGATATATAACCGTCAGACGCTACTTTGTAACGATTGTCTAGACGAGCTAGCTACCGAGCTTAAGAACACGCTAAAATCGACACACTACTCACTAAGCCGGCATCAAAATGTTAATATCTTACTTCGATCAATCCAAGGTCTTGAGCAACCTCGATGAGCGCTACTTCGTACCCAAACTGGGTTGAACTTCACTGGTCATCACTTTTCACTAGAACTCGGAGAAACTTCCTCACAGAGCCAGTGGACTAGTGAGCACATGATAAATTGCATGTTTCTAATGGTGGTCTAACATTGATCAACTCATGATTTAAAAAAGTAACTCAACCTTCTCCACAATCTTATATTAATAATAATAATAATAATAATAATCTGTAAAATAATCCCAAAATTTTCAATACCTTGAAAGTTCTCTACTTAGAGAAATTTGAACTTTTCGAGACATGAAACAATTCATGAATCATATAATTTTTTAAATTAACAATTTCAATCAATTGGTAGTGTTGAATGAAGCATGAGTAAAATTAAACCAATGATTATGATACAATTCTATGATTATAGATGCTTAATAGTTATTGTGGCGGTGGTATTTGGTTCTCTGAGCTGGGTGTTTTGGTTAAAAGAGCTTTCATTGTTCTTCTGAACAACATCATCAGCACAAATTTCTATCAGCCTTCTTCACATCTGCTTTGCTGGAGCCAATATAGTGTGGTTTGTACAGTATGGCCTTATCAACAGGATCGTAATCATCAAATGTGACGAAGCCGAAACCCTGTGACTCCCCTGATTCTTTCCATGAAACAACCTCACACTCGGTAACCTCATGAGTCACATCTTTTTTCAAGCCGCCAACGAAAAGTTTTGTCACAGTCATATGGGACTCAGGATTATTGCAGTCTTCACGTGGCATAGCTCTCATGGCTTCAACTGTTTTGCCATCAATTTGATGTGGTCTATTAGACTGTGCAGCATCTACCATTTCAGAATCCTTGTAGGTGATAAAACCGAAGCCCCTGGAGCGGTTAGTACGACCATCGCTCATCACCACAACATCTACTTGAACTTCAGATAGAAGTTTGTGCTGATGATGTTGTTCAGCAGAAGAACAATGAAAGCTCCACAACCAAAACATTCAGCTCAGAGAACCAAACACCACCACCACCACAATCATCCACCTGAGCTACAAATCTTTTCCACCATCTTTTAATAGTTATTATTATTATTACTATTATTATTATTAGTAGTATTGATATGAAACTAACTTTATCAAATAATTGAACAGGTTTCGAATCCAATACACGTTGATATTGAACTAACCAAAAATCTAATTGATCATCTTTTTTTTGTTGTTCAATTTCTTCCTTTAATAATAAAAAAAGATATTTAAGTAGACAAACAAAAAAGAAAGAATCATGATGTTCATTCAATCTGTCTCTCTCTGTACAGATTAAATAAACATCATATCATATCATGAGATATGAAATTTTATTTTTTGATTGGCTTTTGCCAAACTGCGTCACTTATGGCGAAGGCAAGATGTCCGCTTGTTAACCAAAGGATGAGTGTAGTGTGCAGCAGTTCGCTCCGTCCTACTATACGAAAGCGAAACATGGCCGTTAAGAGAAGAATATGTGCGCAGGTTACTAGTCTTCGATCATCGATCTCTCCGAAGCATTGCTCGTGTATCCTGGGACGACCGAGTAAACAATCTTATCGTTAGGAAACGAGTTCTAGGGAAGGATGGCAAATCAATAGATGAAGTAGTGACACTTCATCAGTTGAGGTGGTTGGGACATGTGTTGCGTATGCCCGACCACTGACTGTCGCGACGAGCTTTGTTTTGTGGTGTAAGAGTAGGTTGGAAAAAAGCAAGGAGCTGCCAAACCAAAACATGGCAGAAATCCAAGAATTCAGTGACTAGTGGACTGATTCATGTTGGTAGATGTAGGCTACCTGGTTGGGGTCCGCAAGATGATAATAACCGATGGTTAGAGACCTTGAACGACATGGCTCAAAATGGTTTGCGATTGCGCAGGTGCATCCACTCTTTGTGTTCTCTGAAATTCTAAACTTCAGAATTCCCCATCATCTCTATTTTTCTCTTTCCAACTTAATCTCACTGAATTATACTCATCGAATCATCTTCGATCACTAATCTTTTCCATTAATGCTAATACTTCTACTATCGCTACTACTCTTGGATTTGAACTGACAGTTGCGTCTCTGTGCTGATGTGGTATGGCGACCTGAACTGATGTACTTAGGTACGAAGTTCCGCGTTGTATCTGTCAATCTTTTCAGAAGTTCAGTCACGGTCGACATAGCTCATCGCCAACATTTTAAACAATGAAGTTGGGTGATATGGCTTGGAACCTTACAGAGAGCATCAATTTTCTCTAAGTTACAAGCATACCATGTTGACGAGTGTCAGCTAGTTCAAAACTGTTAGGATATTCATCCAATATCCTAAAAGAAACTATTTGTAAGTCTAATTCTATTGGTCAATTCCTATTGGACGTCCTAACTGCCAATGTCACATACTTCAATGTTGTTTCCTATTCGACTGCATAAATATGCATTATCTGTAACGTTTTATCACCCGAATCCTTAGTCTGGGATCCTTAGCCTCTTCTGGACTCCGACCTCGTAATTCCTGGATGTTTGTAGAATACACGTTCTTCTTCAGGTCAAGTCTTCTTCTTTTACCCACTGGGGGTTTGGGACACTCGGAATAGATTAGCTTGTCGTGTTGCCAAATCGTCGATCCTCGATCTCATTCACCGACTAGGGTGAACTCGTAATAGTTCAAGCATATCAAATGACGCGTTTACGTGCAATTGTAACAAAAACACAGGTTAAGGAGGGTTTCTTGATGACCACCTATAATCATTTAACATCTCATAAATTAAGAACTGATCCCTAAAGTTATATGAAAAACCTTAGATAGACACACACTCTTCTGTGTGTGTCAGTTTATGTACAGAAAAATGAATGTATTTATAGAGTTACTCATCAATTTGTGATTTTAAAAGGTTTGGTAATCACAATGAATACAACAGCGGTATGGCTAAAAATGAACGAGGTTCCATTCAATGCTGATTGGACGAAACATCTCCTGGCGTTTCTGGGACTCTATAGACTTTTCCTAGGAATATTTTGGGGGATCCCCAACAGTTAACATGCGTGATGGTTTCGATTTCTCTAAAATTTTACAAGCTGGTTGATTTAGAACACTAAAAAGATTGTGAGAATTTACTGGCACAATTTATGATGGAGTTGTAAGATACTGGATTAAATTTGACGGTAAATAACTATACCGTCTACACTTATACACTTACTGAACTGTTAGTGAACATTTTATTTATTCAAACACATGAAATTTAATGCATAACGGTACCTAAATATATATGCACCATATAAATTATCAGGTTAGTACTTGAAGTGGAATACTTTTTGGACGGCTAAACAGAGGCAGATAGTTTTCTTAGCAGGCTACCTCCCGAACCTTTGACCCAAAAGCCGAACTCACAAACCAGTAGCACAACGTCAGGAGATACAGTTCCTTAGTAGCTGAGGGCTCACCATTTTTCCCATCAGGATCCTGGAGCTCATATGCATCGTTAGTTTGAAATCAATGCTTACCAACTCTCATAGATAGATCATTATTGACTTAGAATATGCCGATGACATTGTCCTAATTGGTGAAGACGCTGACAAAATGCAAAGTCTTCTGACTACCATAAGCAACAATGCAAGCATGTTCAAGATGCGGTTCTCCCCCTCGAAATGCAAAATGTTGCTTCAAGATTGGGTTGCATCGGCACCTGAACTAGTGATAGGGAGTGAAGTAGTCGAACGTGTAGACCGCTTCACTTATCTGGGGAGTCTCATCAGTGCCGATGGCCTGGTGACTGACGAAATCTCAGCTCGGATACAGAAGGCTTGATTGGCTTTTGCCAACCTGCGTCACTTATGGCGTAGGCGAGATATCCGTTTGCTGACTAAAGGACGAGTGTACTGCGCAGTGGTTCGCTCCGTCTTACTACATGGCTGTGAAACATGGCCAGTGAGAGTAGAAGATATTCGTAGGTTATTGGTTTTCGATCATAGGTGTCTTCGAAGCATCGCTCGTATATCGTGGGACACCCGAGTGAGCAACGCTGTTATTAGGAATCGGGTACTAGGTAAGAATGGCAGATCAATAGATGAAGTGGTGAAACTTCATCAGTTGAGGTGGTCGGCACATGTGTTACGTATGCCTAACCACGGACTGCCTCGATGAGCGATGTTTTGCAGTGTAGAAGTAGATTGGATGAAAGCTAGGGGTGGCCAAATCAAAACATGGCAGAAATCCATGAAGTCATTGACGAGTGGACTGAGCCATGTCGGTAATTGTCGACTACCTGGTTGGGGTCCGCGAGATGATAATAATCGATGGTTAGAGACCTTGAATGACATGGCTCAAAATCGTTTGCAATGGCGCCGGTGCATTTATTCTTTGTGTTCTCTCAAATCCTAATCTTCTGGGTTCTTCAACAAATCTATTTTTGACTTTCTAAACTTTTCCCACTGAATCATACTTCTTGAATAGTATCTTCTAATCGTAACCTCTTCGATTACTTCTAATACCCTTACTACCTCTTCTACTATTGGATTTGAATTGACAATTACATCTCTGTGTGTGCTAATGTGATATGGCAACATGAACTGATGTACTTACGTACGAAGTTCTACGTTGCATCTGACTGACTGACTGAGATAGATCATCCACACCCATCAACCCAGCTTAAGCCTCCATATGATATTAGCTTTCCGTTCTCTGCCACAAGAATGCAATGCGTAAAACTTTCATAGGAGTAGCCAAATATGCGTGTGCAAATAAAGGAACTTCCAGAAAGAGAGCAGGTTCTTTCTACTCTCAGCCATACCAGGGTATTTAGACTCACAAAAAAAAAACACACCAATAAAACTGTTACATTCTTCAATAAGTGTGAATAATCAGTAAGTAATGGACTATATCACAAAAATTACTAGAATGATATCACTCGACAACAAATAAGGGACTTACTAAACGTTTACGTAATTCCTTCTGACGATCTTGCTGTTCATCGATTAATTGAGTTAATAATTTTAATAATTCACAACGACATTCATCAAGTACACGTTGATTAAATTCAATACGTTGTTTAATATGCGATTGTTCAGCTAATGTAAGCCGACAAAGTTCTTGTTCTATTAAACATATTTCTTTTTGTAATCTTACAATTTGACCATCTTTTTGATGTTGTAATTGAGCAAATGCTTCTTTTTGAACATTTTCCTTTAATAAGGGAAAAAAATATAGTATTCAAATATCATATAAATTACAAATTATTTGAAATTTACAATGGAAACTGATTCATAAGGGGAAAACAACCGAAAACAGTGTGTGTATATATATATATTTAGAAGGGTATAGTTTGGTATCTGTTCGTTATTAATATTACTGTTTCTAAAAAATATTACCTACGCCTGTTACACCCCAATAGGGCATAGGCTACCGACCAGTTTTCTTCAGTCTACACTTTCTTGGGCTTCCTTTTCCGATTCTGTCCAACTTTTGTTCATTCTTCTCATATCTTTCTTTATTTCTCGGCTTAATGTGTTCCTTGGCCTTTCTCTTTTCCTTTGACCTTAAGGGTTTCAAGTGAGGGCTTGTCTTGTGACTCAGTCGTGTGCTTTCCGCAGTGTGTGTCCAATTCACTTCACAGGCTTCTACCTGACTTCCTCCTCCGTTGGAATCTGGTTTGTTCGCTCCCACAATAGATTGTTGCTGACGGTGTCTCGCCAACGGATCTGAAGTATTTTGCATAGACAACTGTTAGCGAATACTTGTATCGTCTAGATGATGGCTTTAGTAGTTCTCCAAGTTTCCGCTCCATATAGCAGAACCGTCTTGACATTTACATTGAAAATCCTGATTTTACTGTTTGTCGATAGTTGGTTTGAGTTCTAGATGTTATTCAATTGTAGAAATGCAGCCCTTGCTTTGCCAATCCGTGCCTTCACATCTGCATGGGATCAACCTTGATCGTCGATTATGCTGCCAAGATTTGTGACAGTTTCAACGTCCTCCAAGGCATCTCCATCAAGAGTGATTTGATTGGCGCATGTTGTGTTGTATCAAAGAATCTTGCTTTTCCTTTATGTATGTTGAAACACGCTGCTGCTGCAACACTGGTCGTCTCCTCCCTTGCGTTTGTTGTTCTAAAAAATATGCATCACTTGAATTCAGAGATATTTTTATTGCTTTGTTAGTGGGACATAGATGAAATCAAAGCATGACTACGTTGCTGCGCGCTGATTGACCAATTTCCTATCCAATCAACGCCTGATCGATTCTTGGAGAACAGGGTAGAAAATTCTCGTGTTGTTAGCTGCATGCTGATTGGCTAAATCTAATCCAGTCGATCACATGAATTACAATCCAGAAGCTTCTCATAAAGATACTAACGTTGTATCTATTTTGCCTTCACCTTTGGATTCTTATTTCCATCTAACTTTGCTATATGGAATATAATCTTTTCCTGTTCCACCGTGTTTTTGATTCTTTGGAACTTGTCCAGCTTATTGTGGTCAGAGAATACTAAGCAATAGGAATTAGCTGGGAATTATTTAAGTAAGCGTTAAAACATGCTTAGAATCAAACTAGATTTATTGAATACAAGTATATTTCGAAACTGATTCTCTTCTAGTTAATATAATAAATCATTGTGGATAGTATGGTTGGTTGAGCATGTTTAACATATTACAACTAACAAAGTAATACACATTATTCATTGAAATGAATTATACAATTTTACAATAGAAACGTTTTGGTATCATCTCCTAAAAGCATAGTAATAATATCGGTCTGGTTTACAGACACACACACGCTAGATTATCACTAATACGGTCACTCACTACCTAAACTAAACCACTCCGAGATTTGAGCTGATAATTACATTTCGTTATACTAAAGAGATAAAATGGCAACTTGAACTGACGTACCAAGTTTTACTTTACTACTACCACTGACTGATTGACTGACACATACGAGTTTCGAGTAGCATACAAAAGTTATAAAATACTTTTTATTCTCTTTCTCTGTGTGTGTGTGTGTTGCAACCTAAATGAATTAAATAATGTTCACCTCTTTTCATACGTTAAAAGCTTTGTACCGTCATCAATTCTGATTTGATGAACAAACTTTTAATTGTTAAACAAAAACAAAAAAAGACTGTCGATCGATCGATAGATCGTAATGAATTGAAATCAACTGAGTGACTGGCTAATAGCCGCCTCTGATGAATTCAATTCATCGACGAAATGCTCACAACTGAACTGATATACCAGAAAACATAACGTGATGAACGCTACTTACAAGATTTGCATTACGGGGTTGTGAAGATTGTTAAGTTACACATTTTTGAAACCATGAATCGATCAATGTTAGACCACCATTAGAAACCTGGAAGCACTGGACGGCCGATTCGTGGTCCTGGTACGGGACTCCTCACCAGTGCTCCCGGGTTCGAATCCCGCGGGGTGCAGGAGTCGTGGATGCGCACTGCTGATGAGTCCTATACCAGGACCACGAAACGGCCGTCCAGTGCTTCCAGGTTTCTAATGGTGGTCTAACATTGATCAATTCATGGTTTCAAAAATGTGTAACTTACAAGATTGCCTATAAGTAGTAGTAGCATGTAGCAGAGCGTGAAATAAAAAATCACGACAAAAAGTTGAATTTAAACAATAACAAAAATAACCCCTCCACATTTCATTTTAGAAAAACAACATCAGATCATTCTTACTTCTAACATAAGATTTGATGTTAATTTTGTATGATCAGCATGTTTGTTGGCTAAAATTTGTTCTACATAATCACTTGTAGAATTTTCATCATTAGTTAAAAGACTTTGAAGTTTAATTGTATTCAAATTCATTGTATGCATTGCATAAGCATTATCTGTAATTGATAACATTTCTTGCATTGAAGCTGGTTTAATAAATCGATAAAATGAAAACTGTTTAATTCACAAAATAAAGTATCATTTAAAAGTTTATTATAATCAATTTCAAAGGAAACATGAATAATGATTATTGAATAGAACCTAGGAATGTACAAACTAATTTGTCCACCACTACTGTAGTGAAAGAGAACACAGGTGAGGGCAACCGGATTGTATTCAACGAAAATTACAGAGTTTCTCAGTAAAATAGGAAAACCATATCGTAAACGGTTAATTTGCAAATCTTCAATCAATCATCAATCCATTGTCTGACATTTCACTAATTCATGCATTTCATACAAATTCCATTGTGTTCCCACTCTACTTCCTTTCTTGATCTTCCCCTATCTTCTGCAGCCAGACATTACGTTTACACACGCGTCATATACTACTTATAAGTAGCGCTCATCACACTACAATCAATAATTTTAAATAATCTTGTTTTAAATTTCATTACATTTAGACAACCTGCAGTTTACGTTGAAGTGTACTTCTTCTCATGAACACAACAACAAAAATGACTAGTTTCATCAAAGTATTATAACAATCAATCATTGAGATTGGTGGCATAAAAATGATTAAAACACTATACTTTCAATGTGAATATTACAGGTTTATTCTGCATTAGTCAGTCAGTCAGTTACGACGTAGAACTTTGTACGTCAGTACATTAGTTCAGGTTACCATACCACATTAGCACACAGAGACGCAATTGTCAGTTCAAATCTCATAGTGGTAGAAATAGTGCTAGTATTAACTGTAATGGAGAAGATTAGGGTACGAAGATATTATTCAGGAAGCATAATTGAGTGAGATAAGTTCAGAAAGAGGAAGATAGAGATGATGAAGAATTCTGAAGATTAGAATCTCAAGGAACACAAAGAATGAATGCACCTGCGCCACTGCAAACGATTTCGAGCCATGTCATTCAAGGTCTCTAACCGACGGTTACTATATTCTCGCACACACCAACCAGGTAGTCTACACCTACCAACATGACTCAGTCCACTTGTCAGTGGCTTCAGGGACTTGTGCCATGTTTTGTTTTGGCCACCCCTAGCCTTCTTTCAACCTACTCCTACACTGCGAAAAATCGTTCGTCAATGCAGTCGGTGGTTAGGTATGCGTAACACATATCACAACCATCTCAACTGATGAAGTTTCAATAATTCATCTATTGATCGGCTATCCTTACCAATCCTTCTTTTACTAATGACAGCATTGCTTACTCGAGTGTCCCAGGATATACGAGCAATGCTTCGAAGACACCTATGATCGAAAACTATTAACCTACGACGAATATCCTCTACTATTACTAGCCATGTTTTGTATCTATGTAATAGGACGAAGCGAAATGCTGCACAGTAGACTCGTCCCTGACTAATCAAATAATAACAATAGTCATGTCCAGCATTATAAAGCGAATATTTCCAACAATATAAATAAACGATTGTTTAGTGTTGTGATTTCTCTTTAAGAAGAATTTTGCTAGTTGATAAGTTATTAGTTAATAATCAAATCGGCTTAAAAGAACAAATACATTAAAATCAATTGAAATCTATCGCTTTTGGTCCATTTTGTTTTGTAGTTTAGTTAAACGAGTTTTGTGTATTCTTTATAGATTGATTCTAGTTTGGGTATCACAAAAAACTATGAACCAATGTGCAGTAATTTCGTACGATTATCAGATTTCCTAGCTATTTACACTGGTGGTATCCACGCCTGAGTTTGATAGCCAGACCTTTAAGTTTGGCAGTCAATGATTTAATCGTTAGAACCAGTGGGGTTAGCGTCTAATGTTACGATTTCAACTTCTATTGACTGAATAACATAACACGACAAGCCTACACCATAAGTGATGAAGGTTGGAGAAAACCAATCAAGCCTTCTGTATCCATGCCGAGATTCTATCACACTCCATGAACTAATGAGACTCCCGACATAAGTGAACCGGTCTACACGCTCAACTGCTTCACTCCCTATGATTAGCTTAGGTGCCTGACATGTCTAAACTCCACCTATTATAATATTCCCATTTGAACATCAGGAATTAATTCTAAATCAAACCACTAATGAGTAAGGGATTATAGTTTTGTTGTATTTCATGACTTAATAACGGTAATACCCAACTGAGTTTATGAGTTTAATCTGTAATAAATACAAACTACTTAATTTTCTGTCAATTTTGAGCTTAACTATCACAATACTTTTTTCATTGTACTTTGAATAAGGGAGTTTTGTTCGTCTCTATCTAAATACTTTGAAAAATGAACTACATAGGACTTGCTCCAACCAAATCACTCTTGATGGAGATGCATTGGAGGACGTTAATGCCTGGGCAGCATCATCGACGTGAAAGGTTGATCAGATGCAGATGTGAGGGCGCGGATTGGCAAAACAAGGGCTGCATTTCTACAGTTGAAAAATATCTGCAACTCCAAACAACTTTCAACAAAAACCAAATTCAGGATTTTCAATACAAATCTCAAGACAGTTCTACTGTATGGAGCGGAAACATGGAGAACTACCAAAGCCATCATCCAGAAGATACAAGTGTTTATGAACAGTTGTCTACGCAAAATACTTCGTATTCGTTGGCCAGACACCATCAGCAACAACGTACTGTGGAAGAAAACAAACCAGATTCCAGTGGAGGAGGAAATCAGGAAGAAGCGGTGGAAATGGATAGGACACACATTGCGGAAAACACCTAACTGCGTCACGAGACAAGCCCTCACACGGAACCCTCAAGGCAAAAGGGAAAGAGGAAGGCCAAGGAACACATTACGCCGAGAAATAGAGATAGATATGAGAAGAATGAACAAACATTGGACAGGACTGGAGAGGGAAGCCCAGGACAGAGTTGGTTGGAGAAAAGTGGTGGGCGGCCTATGCTCCATGGGGGTAACAGGCGTAAGTAAGTAAGTAAGTAATACGACTTGCTCAAACTAGGAACAAGAGCAGAAGAAGCATCATAAATATTGCGGCAGAAATGGAAACTAGATGCACAAAGTTTTTTGAATGAAGAAGTTTCGCGCACCTTCGTTATTCGTACCATAGTACTACTAATTAGCTGAAAACAAACGAATCAAGATATTCGGACGATTTTCACACTACGCTATATCACTAGCAATTGATCGATCATCAAACAGACAGCTAAAATTTTATATTAAAAATGCGTAACCTACTAGATAGCTAACTATTTATCAAGCAAATTTAATACATAACCTTTCCTCTCAAGTTCAATAATGAAATACTCATTATACAAGTTCAAAGAAGGTAAAGAGGAATTTCGAGAATGAAGTGCAAATTAATGACATACACACACTGAAAACTATTTACAAAGAGAGTTAGCTAGGGGCGGCCAAACCAAAACATGGCACAAATCCATGAAGTCACTGACAAGTGGAATGCGTTATGTTGGTAGCTGTCGATTACCTGGTTGGGGTCCGCGAGATGATAGTAATCGATGGTTAGAGACCTTGAATGACATGGCTCAAAATCGTTTGCAATGGCGCAGGTGCATCCATTCTTTGTGTTCTCTCAAATTCCTCATCACCTTTATCTTTCTCTTTCTAAACTTTTTCACTGAATTATACTTCTTGAATAATATCCTCGAACCCTAGTCTTCTCATTACCCTAATACTCCTACTATCGTCACCATTATTTGATTTGAACCGACAGTTGCTTCTCTGTGCTAATGTGGTACGGTACCTGAGCTAATGTATGTACGTACGAAATTCTACGTTGTAACTGACTGACTGTTAGCACTCGCACACACACACACACAAACACAGAGAAACATACAAAGAGGCAACAAATAGAGAAAACAGACAAAACAAACCTAGAATTTCATTTCGTTTCGATTGTGACAATGTAGCATAATTTGTAGCATTGAATTGATGCGCATTGTATACATCTTCCATTTTCTCTAACAATTTCACTGATTTATTAATTGACAATATTTGTTGAATGACATCTGTTGCATTTTGTTCAGCTTGTGTAACAGTAGAAATTAATGCAGAACGTTGTTGTTTTCGTTTGTTTTGTATAGCTGATAATTCAGCGCAAACACGTGATTCTTCCTTTCAATAGGAGAAATAAGAGATGAAAAAAAAGTATACAAAGTAAAAACTAATTCACTATTTGAATGTGATATGTGTTTTTTGAGAAAACTACTTTCTTTCAAAATGGCGGGGAATTGTTCAATATACGCCACACGAAATTGTTAGTGTGTAAAATACAATAACTAGGCAAGCAGTGCTCATAGGATGTGCAATAATTTGTGTTGTTGGTTGTAAATGTCACTTTGAAGTCGAAATCTCATGTACATTTTTACTAAACACTTACAGAAGAGGATAATACTGAACAAAGTCTAAGCTATCAAATGTAAGTCAGTCAGTCAGATGCAACGTAGCACTTCGTAAGTAAGTACATCAGTTCATGTCGCCATACCACATCAGCAGAGAGATGTAATTGTCAATTCAAATCCAATAGTAGAAGAGGTAGTAAAGGTATTAGGAGTTATTGGAGAGGTTAGTTAAATGCTCCAACATGTAGTCTAGAACGAGGTTTCAAGAGACCAGGAATGACGTTTCGTGAACTCGCATCGTTTGCATTAGCGGTGCAGTCAGATAAGGGAATGTGAGTACAGTTAGTTGTGGAGAAACGAGGGCGTGTGTGTGTGTGTAGGAAGGATTTGATTTCGACCAGATTGGTCTCGCGTGCTGTTACGAGTATGAGGGCGGTTGTCACTTCCCGGCTGCCCACACCGTGGAAGGTTGTTTCTTGAGGGACCTGAAAAGGAAGATAGATTAGTGTTGGTCTTAGAGACCTGGGTGCGTGACCGCAGAGCCCAAGGGACAACTGCTTGAGGCCGGTCACGCACGGCCTTTTTATGAAGGGTTTTTTGAGTATTAGCTCCGCTCTTGAAAGCCCTTAGTGGGCACCCTTACCACCGGAGACGCGGAATCCATGAGGTAGGGTGAGGTGTGACATTTTTAGGGTCGACCTTTTCTTAACGCCTTCCTTCCTTGTGAGAAGGCAGCATCGCTGCAGATGCTGGTTGTCCGAAGGAAACACCTTACTGCTGTCGCACCCCTCTGCAGTCAGCAGTACGACTTCACCCTCAGACCTTGAGTAGCTGCTTTTAGTCTCATCGTTCTCCAATCGACCTGCCTGGCATGGTAGAACCTTCAGGAACATATGTTCCAGCCAGTATAGCTCGGTTGGGTCATGACGATAGGCAAGCCCGACCACCACGTCAAGGTAGCAGCTACGGTCGGGATGAAAATGTAGAATTGACTACTTAAGTATCTAACCGTTGGCCTGAGATGTACAAAGAATTGCGGTTTTCTTTGATTGACATCAACAATGAGATACTGATGAGTCACAAATAGGATGAAACATGTGTTATAATGCTGCTACGTAGCTATTCAAATCCTACCGACGTCCGAATTCAAATATTCCAATACGACCCAAATACTATTCCCAAATCTCCTATATATCAGAACACAACGCCGTTAGATGAAGTTGTTTAATGGGTCGAGTACAGTAGAGAGGAAGGCAGGAAGGAACGGAATACAAAGCTTTACAGATACTGCGTATTTATACATTTAGATCGAATAAGAAAGAGTATCGAAGTCTGTGCCGTTGACAGTCCGGACAACCAATAAGAAACAACATTGGATTACGTGACATTGATCTCTAGGACGAGCATACAATTAACCAGTAGGAATTAACCAATAGGAATTGACCAATTACTCCCTTAGGACATTGGACGAATATCCTAACAACATGCATCCTGGATTCCACTACTATCCACTGTCTATCTTTGCGTATAATACTGGTGTGTTAGTTTCAAAGTTGATACAACAATCTATGTGAAGTTTATATATATAATGAAAAGATTGTGGTGGAGCTTTCACTATTCTTCTGAACAACAACATCATCAGCACAAACTTCAGATAGAAGTGAAGTTGAAGCACCGAACATATATTTTGTACTTTTATCATTGTTGAACTTGTATGCGCATGTATTGCTTGGGCATTTACTTGCCACCTAAGCATTAACTGTTTACACAGTCCGATGGCGCAATATCAACTATTAAATCTGATATTTCTATCAATCATTAAAATATTTTGAATAATAAAGAAATTGTGGCATCGACTTGTGTTTTGTAGTAACGGTCTTCAAGACGCAGATATACGGAATTTAGAGGATAACGAAAGTCCAACGCCACAAAGCAATCGAATTTCTCCACATAGTATGACTCGTAGCTTGTTCTGTTAACCTCGAGCTTGATTCGTTGTTACTGACCTTAAACCTATGGATGTTTGCACTTTTGTTTTGATTGTATCCCTCTATGATCTGTTTGCTGATCCTATGTTCACCAATGATTTTTCAGATCGGTTGGTAAATTGGGTCAATATCGATGTGTTTGTTGATTGACCTGAGTGCCATGCTGTTAAAAATTCTCTAGTGTTTCTTGTGCTCCGCCTATCCAGTATTTCAACATTGTTCCAATCGAATGTATTGCATAGTTGTTTGCATGTAGTGATATAAGGCAAGAAATGTCATAGCGTTTGACTGCTATTTGATATTCACGCAAACGAAGCTGAAGATGACGTCCATTTTGTCTTATGTCGTGTTTTTCACAGTGGACATACGTTCGATTAGAACACTGTTGAAATACTGGATAGGCGGAGCACAAGGAACACTTAGAGAGTTTTTAGCAGCTTGGCACTCAGGTCAGAAAAATCATAGGTGAAATCATAGGATCAACAAACAGACTATAGAGGGCTACAATCAAAATAAAGCTGCAAACAACCACAGGTTTAAGGTCAATAACAACAGACAATCAAGATCGACGTTAACAGAACAAGCTACGAGTCGTACTATGTGGAGAAATTCAAATACTCCACTTCTCTGCCTGATGTATGTGCTGATGATGTTGTTCAGTGGAAGAACAATAATAAGCTCCACAACATACATTGAATTATAGAAGATACATTGCTGTAATACATAATTAATTTGAAATCATCAATCAATCATTGTTAGACCACCATTAGAAACCCCAAAAGCACTGGACGGCCATTTCGTGGTCCTGGTATAGGATTGATTGATGATTTCAAATGTGTAAAAACACAAAACCTCCAAAACTCTGCCCCAAAATATCGTAACAGTGCTCACTAGTGATGACTAGCTTCGTGAGGAAATTCTCGGAGTTCTAGTTGAGAAGACGTGACCAATGGAGTTCAACCCTGTCGGGTGTAGGCAGTAACTATCAAAAACAAACGGGTGAGGTCGCGCAAAATCCGTAGATCAATCAGAGTTAGACATTAACACCGTTGGATGCCGGCCCAGTGGTCTACAGGTTAGGCGTCCTCGCACAATACCGAAGGTCCCGGGTTCGAATCCTGCGAGGTGCAGGAGTCGTGGGTGCGCACTGCTAGTGACGAGTCCCATACCAGGACGAAACGACCGTCTTTCAGTGCTTCCAGGTTTCTAATGGTGGTCTAACAATGATTGATTGATGATTTCAAATGTGTAAAAACACAAACCTTCAAAACTCTGCCCCAAAACATAATTAATTGCTTACTTCTGCTAACTGTACAAGTATTTGTTTATTTTGATTGATTTTATTAGTTAATTCTTGTTTAGCCCAAAAATTTTCCAGCGATTGACGTTCCAACTCTAATGCACGAAGATTTTCTTCTTTGCGTTTTTGATCACTGTTTACGGATAATGATGATATCTGAGGAAAAAAAATTAATCGAATAGATAGATAGATAAACAGATGAATGAATGGACTGATATAGAAATATATGAATTAACATAAATTATCTATTGATATACATAACAGTATATTCTATCAAAAAAAAGGATTTAAGGAAGATTAAAATTTTAGAATTATTCCATAGAGAATTATTGTTTATAATTTTATATTAAATCGTGAATCAATCAACATGAAAGCACTGAAAGGCCATTTCATTCTATTATGAAACTCATAAGCAATGCGCCTTCACGACTCCTGCTACTCATAGGAATCGAACCTAAGACCTTTTGTCTCGCGCATGAACGCTTAACCTCTAGACCAATGAGTCGGCAGCCAACAATGTTAATGTCTAACATTGATCAATCTAAAGATTTAGCTAATCCTCACCCATTGTCTAAGGGAGCTACTGCCTACACCTAACCGAAGGTCCTGAGTTCGATTCTGGCAAGCGGGGGTCGTGAGTGCGCACTACTGATGAGTCTTACACTAGGGTGAAACAGCCGTCCAGCGCTTCGAGGATGGTTTAACAAGATTCAGGATTTCAATGTAAAAGAAAAAACAAACTCCATAACTCTATGATGAAAAAAGTTTATAATTTTATGATATAGAGATTTGGATTAATATCATTTTATATTCTTCTATTTGACTAATAAATCGTTGTTATATGCCGTACTATCTACCATTGATCAATTATTTCCTTATTACACTATGTATTACTTATAACTGAGTTGTGCATAGAGTGTAACTTTTTTTATATTCGTATAGATGTGTTATGAGACAATTGAAACACATATTACTCAATAGAAGAGAGGATTAATCTGTTTTATTATTTTCATGTTCTAACTGAAAGGAGATCATAGGCTAATAAGTTTTATGATTCTCCTGTCATTCTTCAAGGTCACTCACTGGGTAGGGCATGCGATACCGGTGAATACGTCAATAGTTGGACTAGACAACAGAATTGCTCCCAACTAGATAATTGTATGCTATTTTATACCATAAATTGTGTATATCTGAGTAAATAAAGGTAAATGGGTTTCAACAATTTATGCTGTGAACTTCAATAGAATCATTTCATTGGTGAATATTTTAATGGACGGTAAAAATACAAATGCGTATATGAGCATCTCTGATGAATTCAACTAACTACGTTCGAATTTCGATCTATTAACTACCATGACAAAAAGCACGATCCTCCGACACAACACAATATGCACCAACCAAATCACACTTGACAGAGAAACTTTGGAGGATGTAGAAACCTGGGCCATATTATTGATGATCAAGGTGGATCTGATGAAGATGTGAAGGTGAGGATTGTCAAAGCAAGGGCAGTATTTCTACAATTGAAGTACATCTGCAACGCAAAACAACTATCGACAAACACTAAAGTCAGAATTTCCAATACAAACCTCAAAGCAGTTCTTTTGTATGGGGTGCAAACTTAGAGGACTACGAAAGTCATCACCTAGAAGGTACAAGCGTTTATCAACAGTTGTCTACACATGATATTACGGATCCATTGACAAGGCTCTGTTAGAAACAACCTACTACGGGAGAGAACGAACCAGATTCCAGCGGAAAAAGAATTTAGAAAGAAGCGCTGGAATTGGATAGGACACACTGAGGAAAGCACCCAACTGCGTAACTTGGAACCCTCAATGTCAAGGGAAAAGAGGAAAGTCAATTAACACATGACGCCGAGAAATGGAGACAGACATGAGTAGAAGGAACAATAGTTGGACAGAACTGGAAAGGAAGGCCCAGGACAGAGTAGTTTGGAGAATCCTGGTCGGCGGCCGATGCTCCAATAGAGGTAACAGGCTTAAGTACCTCACTTCCATAGGTAGCTACAAATATTCAGTTAATTCAATAATTCGATAAGGTTATCCAAATATAGAATAAGGTCGCTTATTCGAATCTAAGTCACCGTATACGGCAGAGATTAAAATCATCAGAAAACCTTTGATAACGTTATAGTATTTGCATTAGTCGTGCGAATCGATCAGTTGACAGACGGTTGTTATGATAATTTTAGACACTTTAAAGGAATTACTACACGACTTAGTGTAGAAATCAGAGTATTCATAAATCATTTTAAAGACATTTGGATTGAAAAATCTATAAAATGCAAAAGTTGAAATGATTGAATTTTCCACTTTTACTGCATAAAGTCCACAGTTCCGTTATGGAAAATCTTTTAAAAACGAACAATGTGACTAAAGGATCATATGAACTCTCTAGCTAACTCATTAGTGCATATGTAAATTCACTGATGCTCCAAAAACGTCTAAATGAATTGAAGATGAGATATTTCATTGAAACGGATCCAGAACACTGAATCAAAAATAATATCATGAGGTTGTGGCACATATAAGGCTAATTGTACAAAATTATAGATAGAGATGTTAACTAAACTGTTCGTATGGTTTTTTATTGATAAAAATTACCCCTTTATTGTCAAGGATAGTTTCACATTGGTTTTCAGGAGAACCAAGGAGACTGCCCACGTGTTAGCATTTCGACATGAATAGTTTGGCTCAATCCCGTGGTGCAACCACACAGGTACCTGACACCCTGGTGAACCAGCTTGTATCGTACACATTAGAAATTTGAATACATTTAAAAATATGTGGAAATGGAAGTTACATTTGCCAACGAAATTTACATTTATAGTATGATAATAAGTTTCTCTTTCGATAATCACTTTTGAATGAGTCAACTAAATTTGAAGATATCTAACCTACACATTTATATTTGTCAGTATTCAAAAATGCACTAATCAACTACAACCTAATTAAGAACCAGTCTACAAAGAAATTAATTTAAATAATTAATAAAGAAATTCCGGCTCAGTTGGTCTAGAGGTTAAGCGTTCTCGCTCGAGACCGAAGGTCCTGGGTTCGATCCCCTCGAAAGAACGTCATGGATGCGCACTGCTGATGAGTACTATACTAGGATTAGACCTTCTACCAGGTGGCTAGCTTATCTGAGGAGTCTCGTCAGTGCCGATTGCCTGGTGACTGACGAAATCTCAGCACGGATACAGAAGGCTCGATTGGCTTACGCCAACCTGCGTCACTTATGGCGTAGGCGAGATATCCGTTTTCTGACTAAAAGACGAGTGTACTGCGCAGTGGTTCGCTCCGTCTTACTGTATGGTTGTGAAACATGGCCAGTCAGAGTAGAAGATATTCGTAGGTTACTGGTTTTAGATCATAGGTGTCTTCATAACATTGCTCGTATATCCTGCGACACACGAGTGAGCAACGCTATTATTAGGAATCGGGTACTAGGTAAGAATGGCAGATCAATAGATGAAGTGGTGAAACTTCATCAGTTGAGGTGGTTGGGACATGTGTTGCGTATGCCCAACCACCGACTGCCTCGAAGAGCTTTGTTTTGTGTTGTAGGAATAGTTTGGAAGAAAGCTAGGGGCGGCCAAACCAAAACATGGCACAAATCCATGAAGTCATTGACGAGTGGACTTAGCCATGTCGGTAAATGTCGATTACCTGGTTGGGGTCCGCGAGATGATAATAATCGATGGTTAGAGACCTTGAATGACATGGCTCAAAATCGTTTGCAATGGCGCCGGTGCATTTATTCTTTGTGTTCTCTCGAATCTTAATCTTCTGGATTCTTCAATACCTCTAGTTTTGACTTTCTAAACTTATCTCACTGAATCATACTTCTTGAATAATATCTTCTAATCCTAACCTCTCGGATTACTTCTAATACCTTCACTACCTCTTCTATTATTGGATTTGAATTGATAATTACATCTCTGTGCTGATGTGGTATAGCAACATGAACTAATGTACTTACGTACGAAGTTCTACGTTGCATCTGACTGACTATACTAGGACAAAACAGTCTCCCAATGCTTCCAAGTTTCAGAATGATGATTTAACAATGATCGATTCATTGTTTCAATAAAACTTAACAATCTCCACAATCCTATAATAAAAAATAACAAGCAGTTAATGGAATTCCATTAAAAACGATTTTTATTCACTACTAATAACAAAGAAAATTGATTTTCACAATCATATTGAACTTTACTGATATATATACATATATATATATATATATATATATATATATATATATATATATGTATATATATATATATATATGTATATATATATATATATATATTTCGGTTAACTTACATCACTTGGACAACTTAGTGTGTTTTGTTCATTCTTATCCATGGAAGTATCATTACTAGGTAGTATATTTTCATGATTTGAAACAACATTACAACATTCCATTCCTTCTGAATAGAAAAAAAAAATCAAGGTTGAAAGTGTACACACACAACTTACAATTCAACGAGAAAAATTCTTGACAATTTTAATTATCAAAAAAAAAGAAATATATGTACGTAATTAGACCAAGAAAATAATAGATTTCCGATTGAAAATTATATCAGTGATTATATAATAATACAATGCTGATATCGATTGATAACCTTCATGAAAAAGGATAAGATGTATAAAATACTGTAAACTTATTTCATTTATTTCTAGATTAAGTTCCTAGTTTGCGATAACGTCTCTAGCTGTGAAACTGAATGATACGGGGTCGAACCCACCAGGGAGCATCAAAGTTCTCAATATTACAGGTGGACCTTGCTAACGAATGTCACATAGCACCTCCAACCACCACCTCATATCTCAGCATCGTACAACCATGTCGATTCGCCTAGATTAGTGGCTACATTTCAATCTGATTGATAGAATTCGATGAGCGCTAAGGAGGAGTTGACGCATATAATATTGATGACTAACCAGTGATTGACGTAAGTAGAAACCAGTGATCAATCAATTGTAAATAGGACGATAAATTTTTGATAATTCATTCAGAATGCTTATTGCGAATAGAATTTAAGTATGTTGATGAGTTTATTTCTAACAAAACAACACTTGTGGATAAATTTAAAAATATACGAAAAGCTGATAATGTTATTTCGATGTGAACACTAATAATTCCTCGTCATATTTCCAACTTTTTGAAATACATTTCTTACCCAACTAAACCTCCTTAATCCCTTTATAAACTGAGTAGTGAAGTACTCGAAAAATTTCAGATAGGGTTTGATAATAACTGTCTTTAACAACTAAATTCATGTATTTAAACTCCAATCTTTGACTTTTAGCCAACATGGTTTTACACTAGAAAAAGATAAAATAAAGACCCCTGCAGTAGTAAAATGTAAACAGAAGTACCCGAATGGCCAAGAGAAACCAGTAAGCAATGATATGATACTTCGCGGATTCTTGTATTACTCAAGTCAAAGACCACAGAACTTTTGAATTAGTTCTCTTAATCAATGTAGTAAATTATATGCTATTTTCTAAACCATTTACTCTACTTAAAATAGCAAATCAAAGTAGGCAGTGATTAGCACATGTTACTCATTCATAACCGCAAAGCAGCGGCAGCATTTCTACAATTGAAGAATAGCTGGAACTCTAAACAACTATCAACCAACATCAGTCATAATCTTCAATATAAATATCAAGATAGTTTTACTATAGGTAGAGGAAACTTGGCTAACAACGATAACCATCATCCAGAAGATAAAAGTGTTTATTAACAATTATCTGCTGGCCAGATACCATCAGCAAAAACCTACTGTAAGAGAGAATAAACCATATTCCAGATTAGGAGTAAATCAGGAAAAACCTTTGGAGGTTGATAAGACATATATTGAGGAAAGCGACAAACTGGGTAACAAGACAAGGCCTCACTTGGAGCCCTCAAGGTCAAAGTAGAAGTGGAAGACCAAAAAAAACATTACACCGAGAATCGGATGGAAACATCAAGAGAATGAGCAGCAATTGGATAGAACTGGAAAGGAAGGCAGTTTGGAGAATGATGGTCGGCGGCCTACGCTCCACTGGGGGTTACAGGCGTGAGTAAGTAAGTACTCATTCGTAACCACTTAAGAGTGAACTGAGACTAACAATTCTAACTAAGAACTTCATAAATAATATCAGCGTTCGTTCATTGGTCCAAGTTTACGAATGTTAACCATTCGATTGTAGATTTGAAATGTAAAACACCAATTTCAAGATAAAGCAGTCAGTTAGTATCACAAAGCGTCATGAAAAAAATGTATGGTTCCAAGCCAAATGAGTGAACTAAACTCTGATAGTTGACTGAAATGAACTACATTTCACGTTACTTTAGCTTACTATCATTGCATATCAATTGTAGTTTGAAAATATTCATCAAAACTTCAGTATGTCTAACACGCTTAGTGGCCATGTATTAAATACGTCAAATAAGAGTGAAATACTGTCTCTAGCAAACATTTAAATATCACTTCGAAATAATAGGTGGAGTAAATTGTCAAACATTAGTCAAATTCATTGTGACTATATCGAAAAGTTCCCACTGGTTGTTAAATGAGGCACATCAGTTTTGTTGAGGTGGGAAAGACAATAATCTAAAATTTGAACATCAACCTAAGCCAAATGTCGTTATTCAAGTTCATAACATTAGCTAGCCTACCTACTAGTAACTAAATAATTTAGATTCAACCCATCGGTATGATAAGATTTACTTATGTATGCATTCGGAGTACGAATTTTTCTAAATAACCCCGCCAATAGAACCTTCGGGTCTACTGCCGGTCCCAAGCCCGGATAAAGGAGGAGGGTTGAACATGGGGTTGGCGACCCCATTCCGTCAAAAACTAACTTGCCAAAAAAAAGCTAACCAGAAAAACTAATTCAAACCATTTTAACTCTGCCCTGGCAGTTGGAAGAAGAATTATGACGTCTCGTGATGAAAGCCGAGTTTCCTCGGAAGTCACGAAGCCGATGCCTCTTCTGACAACCACAGCGACCATTCTTTTAGGTACATGGAACGTTCGTACATTGTGGGATACTGGAAGACTATTTCAAGTTGCGGCAGAAATGAAAAGATACAACCTCGAGGTGCTCGGCATCAGTGAAACACATTGGACACAGGTAGGACAACTGAGACTAGCTTCAGGGGAACTGCTGTTATACTCTGGTCATGAAGAGGAAAATGCTTCACATACACAAGGAGTTACACTAATGCTGTTCAAACATGCACAAAAGGCACTGATAGGATGGGAATCTCATGGACCTAGGATCATCAAAGCATCCTTCAAAACAAAGAAAGAGGACATTACAATGAACGTCATCCAATGTTATGCACCTACCAATGACTACAATGACGACGTTAAAGATCAATTCTGCGAAAGGCTGCAGTCAATCGTCCAGAAATGTCCACCAAAGGATTTGACGATTCTTATGGGAGACCTGAATGCCAAGGTTGGAATGGACAACACTGGATATGAAGACATCATGGGACGACATGGACTGGGAGAAAGGAACGAAAATGGTGAGAGATTTGCAAAGCTATGGGCCTTCAACAAACTGGTCATCGGTGGCACAATATTCCCGCACAAAAGCATTCACAAAGCCACACGGATTTCACCGGACCACACTACTCAAAACCTAATCGACCATATCTGTATCAACAAAACGTTCAGAAGGACCATGGAGGATGTGAGAACCAGGAGAGGAGCTGATATAGCCTCAGATCACCATTTGCTGGTCGCCAAAATGAAACTGAAACTAAAGAAGCACTGGACAACGGGACAGACGACATCACACACGCTTAATACGGCCTTTCTTCGGGATACTGTAAAGCTCAACGAATTCAGGATAGCCCTCACCAATAGGTTCCAGGCCTTTCAGGATCTACTCAATGGAGAGGACGCAACATTGGAGAACAATTGGAAAGGGATTAAAGAGGCAATAACTTCAACATGTCACGAAGTTCTGGGTCACAAGGAATGGATCTCTGTTGATACTCTTGAAAAAATTGAAGAAAGGAGGAACAAGAAGGCAGCAATCAATGTCAGCCGAACAAGAGCAGAGAAAGTTACCGCACAAGCTGCATACACAGAAGCAAACAGGGAAGTGAAGAAGAGCATAAGAGCCGACAAACGAAAATATGTGGAAGATCTAGCAATGACGGCGAAAAAGGCTGCAAGAGAAGGAAACTTGAGACAATTGTACGAAACAACAAAGAAGCTGGCCGGAAACTATCGTACACCAGAACGACCAGTGAAAAGTAAGGAAGGCAAAGTAATCAGCAACACTGAAGAACAGCGAAATAGGTGGGTAGAACACTTTAAGGAACTCTTGAATCGACCAGCTCCACTGAACCCACCCAACATCGAAGCAGCATCCACGGACCTTCCAATTAATATTGGCGCACCTACGATTGAGGAGATCAGTATGGCCATCAGACAAATCAAGAGCGGCAAAGCAGAAGGACCAGACAACATTCCAGCAGAGGCAATGAAAGCAGATGTGGAAGCAACTGCGAAAATATTTCACATCCTCTTCAAGAAGATTTGGGATGAGGAACAAGTACCATCAGATTGGAAAGAAGGATACCTGATCAAAATACCAAAGAA